CAATTCAACTCCCCTGCTCGCATCCAGCCTAGTTATTCTGCTAACTTGAAGATTCGTTAGTATATACTAACTAATATCTAAAATGTATGAACTAATATCCAAGTCTGCTGAGTATCTAGATAGCACAGACTAGTACTCAAAACATCATAAACTAGTATCCAGATAATAGATACCAACTAATATCCACAATCAACCAACTAGTATTCAATATGGATACTCTTATATGTTATCTGGATAATTTTATGTGTTATCTGGATACTAATTATGTGTTGTATGGATACTATTATGTGTTGTCTAGATATTAGTTCGTGAATTTCGGATAATAGTTGATTCATGGTGGATATCTATTAGCAAACTTTGAATACTAGTCTGTGCTCTCTAGATACTTTAGTACATGGATACTAGTTCATGTATTTTGGATATTAATTAATATCTGCTAATGAATCTTAAAGTTAGCGGATTAACTTTCCCCGCTTGCATCACCGTACCCTCGCCATCAACATCTACGGATATTTTCATGGCCACCGTACGGGTTCTGTTAGAGTTAGTCAATAGAGTTGTAATACCACATTGATGGGAGAAGTAAAGTGTAAAGATGAAAGTCTTTCGGCAGTTTAATTATTAATTAATTTTATATTAATTAATTAATTAACGTTTGAATATTGTGAAAGGATGTGTCCTTCTAGAAAGGTAACTCCCTTTTTTCTGTGAAAAGATGTGTCCTTTCGGGAAAAGTAACTACCTTTTCCTGTGAAAGGATGTGTTTCTTCGGAGGCAACTTCCAGTTTTCACTACTATAAATAAATGACTGCCATAACTTTTAGTGACGAGAGATTACTTCTTCTTCCGTTTTCCTTCTCTATTTCATAACCACAGAAGTCTGCAAGATTGCTGCTTCCAGACTTAGAATTGAAGGGACTCCTGGGGGTGGTTTGCTCGAGCCTACCAGCAATTTGTAGTGGGGGCAAATAACACTCTAAGGAGAGTGATTAATCACGCCTTCAATCCGATTCATTTCTACCATATTCCTGACAATCTTAAAGTGTTATTTTGCTATTGGAAAATGAATTCTGGAGTGAAGAGTACGTTGAAGACATATGCTTGTGATTCCTACAAGATGGTTGCCGAAAGGGAAAATGGTATCGGTCGTCTTTGATATCGGTAACATCCTCTTCCATTTTAATTCTTGGTGTTGAGAATGGTGATATATATTATGTTTGTTGTTCGTGTCACTAGAAAGAAACTTGTTCTCCCTATAGGAATAGTTTCTGTAATTGCTAGTGGCAGGGGTCCAATTGTATTTTTATGGCACCATACGATTATTTTCATTGGTCAATAATCTCGATCGGTACTGTTTTTTGGGTGCTGGAAACTTGTTGGTTGTTATTTTATTTACTTGCATGGATTAATAATCATGCACTTAACCAAGCGTATGTCGTTTATATATTTTCTGTGACGTATATATGTAAATATATTCCTCTGCCATTGGAAAGAAAATGCTTGTAATAGAATTATATATGCAGGGGGCGGAGCTAGGTGGAGCCTCGGAGGGCCCCCCAAGAATTTTGAAACTATGTACAAAATCTCTTCGGATTGTGAAAAATTACGTATAAAATAGATGTTAGAATATAAATTGTGTGCGCAATAATCTGACAAGAAACTAAGGGGTGGACGAGTGGTAGAAGAGTTGATCTTTGAAAATGATAAAAATGAACGGGTGATAGATTGGAGGTTATTTTGCTATTTCAATACTGAATTAGTGCCCATTTTTTGCCATTTTCAAGTGTTATTTTGCTATTTCCATATTGAAATAAGCCAATAAATCGTTTGAAAATGATAAAAATGAGCTACATATTGAAATACATGATTAATTTTTTTCGTAATTTAATAATTTGTTTTGACCATATCACATAGTAAATATTTATCTCAATTCTTGTTTTGTTATGATAATAAAAATTCTATAAACTTTTTTTTGTCATGGTAAACTAAACAACTTCGGCCCCCCGAAATTCAAATTCTAGCTCCGCCCCTGTATATATGTATGCAATATGTGTATATATATATATGTTCTTTTTATTATCATGCATGTGACGCGTGCCATGTGTTCATTGTTATGGAGTGATTTATATGTATACATGGTTTGGCAAAGTTTGGAGTTGTTTTACTATGTGGAATTATATTATATATATGCACTTTGTTCTACTCTATGCTTGTTTTAAAGAGCAATTGAGCGGTTCGTTAAACCACTGTTCGTTCCCGAAATAATGAAAGCATGGAGGTTGAAAATTGAACAGATGCATCATTTGGTTGTTGGTATTCATGTGGCAAGAGACATAGCCGTACGTTTTGGACATTATGTGTCGTAAATGGATTTACGATAGAATGGTTAAACAATTCGGTTTGGTTAAGTGATATCAAATATTTTTTTCGTATTTGAAATGAGATCAAACTCATAATTCATATTATGATAAGAGTTTGGAGAAATTCAACTTGTTTGAATTTGGAAGAATTCACGTTGAATTCTTGAAACAAATTTGTCACCAAATTTTGTATAAGTTTCAATATTGATGCTTGCAAGATGCAACAATTTGGTTTATGTAACAAAATTGTTTGAGTTGTGATCTTGAAGTAAATTGAAATAATGGTGAAAAGCGTTCTCCCGATATGATAATTTGTTTATCATGTATGTGGTTTAAACTTCATGTTTCCTATCCATGAGGGAAAGGAAAATGAAACAAATTGCTCTTTGTTGGGATTGAATAAGCTTGCCAGAGAATGATGATCATCAAGATAAACATATGATCAGAATTGTTTATGGTATATGTACACTATACCATTGGAAAACAATTGGACTTGTGATTATGAATGTGAAGTTATTTGTCAGAATTGTTTTTGGTATATATAGACATATACCATTGGCAAACAATTTGGCATGAGAGCTAATTGAGACGAGTTTATTGAACTTGAAATCTGAATTACTTATGGTATATGTGTGAATTTATACCATTGGCAAGTAATTAGACGATTGACTTAGAATATTCATTTGAATTGCTTGTGGTATGCCAAGTTACCTTCATGAAATGTCATTGGTAAGTAATTAGATGGTATCTCCAATCCAATATGGAAATGCAACTGAATTACTTGTGACATCTCAAATTGCCTTGACTAATACAATTGGTAAGTAATTAGATGATATTTCTAATAATATCTGAATTGTTTGTGGTATGCTAATCTAATTAGTTCTTATCATTGGTAAACAATTAGATCAATGTAGTGGTTGAAAGTTCAATCAGTAAAACCATGGAAAATAAAATAGAATTATTCCATGATAGTTCAGCAAGTGGTAAAATTGTGGGGGAGATGTTTTTGATGCTGGTTGGATAACAAGTGTTAGTGATAATAAATCTGCAACGGGTGGATTTTTACACTAGGTGGTGGAGTTGTTTCTTGGGTTTCGAAGAAACAAACGTGTGTTACACACTCCACTATGAAAGTTGAATTCCTGGCCCTTGCTATGGCTGGAAACGAGGCAGAATGGCTAAGAAAGATGTTGTTAGATATCGAGTTGTGGCCACAACCGATGTTAGCCATTTCTGTCTATTGTGATAGTAGTGATGCTACTTTTTCTAAAGCTTATAGCAAGATTTACAATGGTAAGTCTAGACATAATAGCCTAAGACATGGTTATGTTAGATATTTGATTATTAATGTAATCATTTCTATTGTGTATGTAAGATCAAGCCATAATTTGGCAGATCCTCTTGCCAAGGGATAGCCAAGAGGCATGATCTATGAGACATCCCAAGGGATGGGATTAAGACCTTTTTGTGTAGTTAGAAGTAACGGGAACCCAATCTTTTCTTTAGGTATTCACTAATTAAAAGGTTCAATGTGGTAATAACAAGTTACTCTAACAGAGGCACTAATTTATTGTACAAGTAAATTAGTCCAGAGAAGGGTGAGTTATAGAACTCTTGAGATGAGTTATAGAGCTCTTAATGAATTCATTTGGAATGTCACCTATGTGAGCATTTAGAGTGGTGCCGCTCTAACAAAAGAAGAGGTCAACTTTTGTGTATGCTCATGAAACAGGATTAGCACATGGCCATAATAGTGCTACCCTAGTTGGTGGTTATGGTTTAGAGAAGAGACAAGTACGTGTGTGGCATCTCCGGTTATAGCTTTGGATCGTGACTCCTAGGCTTAAGCCCGTCACTGATTCGTTATCAACTTTGAGTTGCTTACACTAGGTAAATGTTCAAATCGAAAAGATACCTTTATGTATGTGTTGCTTGTTCGAGGCAGGTATTCTCAACTCTTGTTGACTAAGTGGGGAATTGTTAGAGTTAGTCAATAGAGTTGTAATACCACATTGATGGGAGAAGTAAAGTATAAAGATAAAGTCTTTTGGCAGTTTAATTATTAATTAATTATTAATTAATTAATTAACGTTTGAATATTGTGAAAGGATGTGTCCTTCTAGAAAGGTAACTCCCTTTTTTCTGTGAAAAGATGTGTCCTTTCGGGAAAAGTAACTACCTTTTCCTGTGAAAGGATATGTTTCTTCGGAGGCAATTTCCAGTTTTCACTACTATAAATAGATGACTGCCATAACTTTTAGAGAGATTACTTCTTCTTCCGTTTTCCTTCTCTATTTCATAACCACAGAAGTCTGCAAGATTGCTGCTTCCAGACTTAGAATTGAAGGGACTCCTGGGGGTGGTTTTCTCGAGCCTACCAGCAATTTGTAGTGGGGACAAATAACACTCTAAGGAGAGTGATTAATCACGCCTTCAATCCGATTCATTTCTACCAGATTCCTGACAAGTTCTTCGACATTTTTTGAGAAGACGGGTTTCCAAACCACCATCTCAAACCAATTATTTCATCATCCTCTCTTGCAACGCCCATATCTATATTCTTTTCAATTCCCCGACAAAATGGCCCTCACCAAGCAGACGATGAGGAAGTCGATCGGCGGCAAAGCCCCGAGGAAGTAGCTGGCGACTAAGTCGGCTCAGCAGGTCGGAGTGAAGAAGCCTCGCCGATTCAGTGGCGCTGAAGAAGATCCGCAAGTACAAAAAGAGCACCGAGTTGCTGATCCGCAAGCTTCCGTTCCAGAGGTTGGTGTGAGAAATCGCCAAGGATTTCAAGACGGATCTGAAGTTTCAGAGCAACATAATAACAAGACCAACATAACTGTACACTTCGAAAGCATCTGATTGCTTTGCCAAATATAACCACAATTTAAAAATGAAAACTTTTCAAGGTATTGAGAGACAAGAAAGACAAAAGCAATCCAGTCCAAACCCTAAAACCCATAATCCCCTCGAAATCGATCCGATTCTGAGAGAAAGCAAAAACAGACACAAATCCAGGCAATTCAAACCAAGAAAGCGGCCACCAATTTTCAATGGGAGAACAAAATCGACACAAATATCCACAGGGGTTTATGGCGAGGGTAAGGTGATGCGAGCAGGGGACCTGAATTGCTCTGTTCTCCTGCGACGAAGAGCGAGTGAGCGACAGATTCAGGGAATTGGGTCATAGTTTTTGGGTCGAGTTGGTTGAGCATGGTTTGGTTGGGTGTAGTTGATTGGTTTGTTAAAAATTTCTTGATTTTTATGTTGATTTGGTATTCTGATTGTGCTCAATTAACGGATTTTTGTATGAAATTGGACGGAATGACCACTTTGATATTCATCTAAACATTTTTTTATTGAAACGTGTAAAATTAAACTTTAGTGATCGTTTTGTACTAAGTGATAAGTTGTGTTACCGTTTATGATAATTACCAATGATTTTCGTGGTTATTGCCAATTATATCTTTGGACCGATTATAGTGCAGAATTTTGTTAGTTGGAAAAGATGATTGGAATGGCTTTTGATTGGCCTTATTCCATATATATATATTGGCTATTTCGGTGCACTCACTTTTTTGGTGCATTCAGTGCTCTCAACTCTAAAAGTGATAATAATACATTGAATTTTGAATTTTAATGGGCAGCATTAGTCTAATATGATGATATAGTATAGAATCACAACTAATCAACCCATTATCATAACCCCTTAACCTTCAATTTTGAATTCCAACCCAAAATCCCAATATATAAACCCTAACCCTAAATTACTAAACTCTAAATTATTCAAATTAAAGTAAATCTTGAATGATTTTTGTGCAAATTCATGTGTTTCTTGTTCATCAAACCACAAGTGATGATTGATATCATTTTCAAATGAATCGCCTTCCGGAATGACAATTATGAGGCGAGTGCATTGAATACACCCAAAAAAGTGGGTGCACCGAATACACTACCATAAAATCATTAAATATTAACAAATACGACAAGTCGATGAACCGATGACAAATATGTACCGACACATATCATCAAACCGCCAGTATATAATCGAAACTAATTCCCCACAATAAGAAGTTGGAGACCAAGAGTTGAGGAGTAATTTTCGCCCGGATTCTAAATTTGGCAAGCTAGCGTCCACATGGGAGGGACCCTACTTGGCGCCAATACTTTCAAGCTACGGGAGTTCAACGGAGCTAAAATCCAAGAACTTGGAACTTGCAACGTTTGCCATGAATAGTAAAAGATGCGACACTATTCCCGCGACTAATGTAAAGATATGTGATAAGTGCGGAAAAATAAACCGCAATGTAATTGTGCAATCATGAGTTGCGCAAAGGGAAATACAGGAGCAACAGTAAATGCAAAATACCAGCGCTAATCATGAATTATGCAAAGACAATTAAAATTTTGGATTGTTCAACAGGAAGAACATGGAACTACCATACAGTTCTGGAAACACAAAAATGCAAGTACAATTAGGAAAATTTCCCTAATCAATTACAATCTTCTATGCTACGCTCACTCTACCCTCCTCCTCGTCCTCTGGCTATGAATCAGGATCCAACGAACGCTTTTCACTCAGCCACCGCTGAACATGCTTAATCATGGCTGTCGTGTTCCAGTGGACCCTGGGGTTATCTGGTCGCACCTTCTTGCCAACGTCTATGACCGCCTTCGTCATGCAGACCGCCAAAATTTTGTGGAAAGTGGTCGTGGACTTGTATTGGCGAATGGCATTTGCCTGAGCATCTCGAATAGCATCCGCATTAACCACCTCGTGCACGCGGAAAAGATCCTCCTTCTCATGATGGAATTCCTTGCGCACGTTCTTCAGCATCTCAGCGTGATCCACCTCAAGGCGCTGCTTCTCTTCAGCAAGCTCATATGCCACCCGCTGCATCTCTTCATCGAACTCCTTCTGCAACTCGGCACAGATGGAATCCAGCTCCTCAGCTCGAGCCTTCTCCTTCGCCGTCAGAACCTCCTCCTGCAACTTACTATGTTGCACACCCAATTGCTCTAGCGCCTCGTTTTCCTTCTTAGTAACATCCTCCGCGCGACCTTTAGCACCCACAAGTTTGCCTTAGAGCTGAATGCTCTTATTCATCACCCGCTTTCGGAAGGTTGCCAGCAAACCCTACAACAATAATCCGCCAAATGCCTTATCAAAAATCAGGTGGAAGGCAATCGCCCATGTAAATAAAAGAGAGAGAAAACACTCACATCGAAATGAATATGTGCGATGTATTGGAGCGAGTCGTTGCTCTCCAACTGCGGAGGGATGTTCAGCACGGAACAGCACTGCGTGGAGGGCGCTTTGAGCAGCAATAAGGTAAGCAGAGGCACCAGAGTGCAACCACACATCACGAAATTGTGTGGGAGCGATGGTCTCGAACCCGGGCATCTCGGGCAAAGTCTGCTGCACGGTTTGTCCCAACGAGCTACTCACGACCGCTTTATCAAGTCGTGGTGGTTTGCTAGCTCGCGGCTCCCTCTCAACACTTTTCTACTCGGTGCCTTCTCTGCCATCCGAGCCACTTTACTCACTCTCTCTTGAGTAGTGGGACGATCCGCCTCCTTCCTTTTCCTATCACCGCGAGGCGCCTTGGGTACCTTCATAACCTCGTCGACAAACATCATGCTGACAACAAACAAGTAACCCACACCTGCAACAATAAGTCATAAAAAAGCTGTTAATATTACAGAATGCAAAGACAATGAGAGACGACTAACCATCGTTAAATAACTCCGCCAAGCGAGCTGCACGGACCCCTTTACGGTAGAGGTCAATCTTCTCATCAAGCAACATATCGTACCTAGCCTCCAAAGTGTCAGACGACTCCCACTTCTGACTCGAACCTTTTAATGCTTCCATTTTTTTCAAATGGTTGGCTCATCCGTGTATTCGCTGGCCCATTCAACAGTAGCAGGATTCAAAAAAAAAACCGCTTGAACCAGTTCTTGTCAAGTTTTGGAGACCCATACACGTGGCCGTCTGGCCTCTTGTTGAGACGCTTTAACGACAGGGGGAAATTTCCGATGCGGCTCCGCTCCGACGGTACTGCATACTGCCAAGAGGGGAAGATCAAACTTTGTGTCTAAAATCTCCACTGGAGCAGTCGAGATAGGCTGAAAGCTGCTCGCGTGATCGCGACGAATGATCAACACCCCCCGCGCACCCGAGCCCGACCCGTTTTCCTAATCCTACCACCTACCTCCCTCAGAAGAACTGTGAAGAAGGTCACGATCAGCGTCGACGACATACTATGGCGTCGACTAAACTCCTCTGATCATAGCCTCGCCGATACCCTCGTTGCCGGAGTCGTCCAGTAGAATCATGAGAAGGGGCAGAGATATTACCTTTTTCGTCGATAACGACCTCGATCTCAGCACTAGAACTGCCGTTAGACATCGAAAACTGGATCTTGTAGACGGAGGAAGAGAAGAAGCAAGGTCGCAAATGAAGGAGAGGAATCCGAGAGCAGGAGAAGATTTCTTTGAGAGGAAGCCGGAGAGTTGGAAAGATGAAAGTGTTCTTCAGATGACTGAAGGCCCCCATTTATAAGCTAGAGGAGAGAGAACGCAACGGGTAAATTGACATCGAGAGTCGCAAGAGTCACATTAGCATATTGAAATTCAAAATTCAACCACCCAAACGAGCGAATAGATTAACGCCACGTGGACAACAATAGGCTGACGATGAGTAGAAACGAGGCGATGGCTCCCTACTACTCTCGGAATGAAGATAGCTCCTCATGAAGCAAAGTCAGCTACTATCGCACAACTCACGGGAATAAAAAGGAACCCGAGAAGAAGAAAAATCCAAAACAAATCACAAAAGGGCCACCTAGACATGCGTAACAAACCGTGATAACTGTCGCAAACGCCACGAAGAGGCTCCAACCTAATGAGATATTCATGCAATACCCCCTGTTGGGGGGCAATTGTTGGGGCATGGCTTAGATCCAACTGCGCCAGCAGTCATACGCTCATTTTCTTGCAAAGGACAAGAAATACCAAGGCAAGGCGCGCCCAAGAACGGTACTCGCGGAAAAACCTATGGTGTGCCCAAAAGCATGTACTTGCGGAAACACCTAAAGCGCGCCCAAGAATGGGTACTTGCGGAATACCAAGGCAAGGCTCGGTTAGGTAGGTTAAACCTCGACAAGGCAAAGGTCGTGCACTAACGTGTACTCGCGGAACAAGAAGCTCAAGACAACGTTGTTCCACAGACAAACAATCATGTCTCGCTTATAGACCTCATCATACCCTAGTTTCCTGTCTTGTCCAAACGTCCTATCACTTTGGAAACCCCACCGTGGTGGTTGAGGGGATCGATATCTAAATTTTCTATAGAAAACAAGGAACTTCTATCTCTAGAATCTCTCTCTCGTTTCTCTCATATCCTTGTATCCCAAAAGTTAGTAAAGGATAAGGGTGGTTCATTCTCTCATTTCACTCGCACACCCAATTAAACTAAATTATACATAAACAGTATCATTATCTCAAACTCGTTTTAATTCATAACCAAAATACATATATCTCACTAAAAATATTTGGAGTATATCTCAGGAGTACACCAATCTAATATATATATTTGTATATCTATACACCAATCTAATGGTTAGATCACCTGTTGTATACTATACGCCCAGGCGCAGTGGCGGATCCAGGAATTTTTATATGGGTGTCCTTGTAAAAAAAAATTAATTAAATTAAAAACTAAATGATTAAATTAAATAATTCATAATAAAATATCTGACTAGTACAAATTTAAGTAAAATTCCATGACGTGTTTTTCATATTCTGAAAAAGAATATAAAATCAATCGGTGTCATACGGCTCAACAAATATTTATATCC